GCGAAGCCATTTGAAGTCGGCTTCGTTCTTGCTGCCCCATATGGGGCAGAAATTTTCGAGTTAGCAAAGCGAAGCCACGAAATTTTGGAGCTAGCAAAGCGAAGCCATTTGAAGTCGGCTTCGTTCTTGCTGCCCCATATGGGGCAGAAATTTTCGAGTTAGCAAAGCGAAGCCACAGAAATTTTGGAGCTAGCAAAGCGAAGCCATTTGAAGTCGGCTTCGTTCTTGCTGCCCCATATGGGGCAGAAATTTTCGAGTTAGCAAAGCGAAGCCATTTGAAGTCGGCTTCGTTCTTGCTGCCCCATATGGGGCAGAAATTTTCGAGTTAGCAAAGCGAAGCCACAGAAATTTTGGAGCTAGCAAAGCGAAGCCATTTGAAGTCGGCTTCGTTCTTGCTGCCCCATATGGGGCAGAAATTTTCGAGTTAGCAAAGCGAAGCCATTTGAAGTCGGCTTCGTTCTTGCTGCCCCATATGGGGCAGAAATTTTCGAGTTAGCAAAGCGAAGCCATTTGAAGTCGGCTTCGTTCTTGCTGCCCCATATGGGGCAGAAATTTTCGGTTAGCAAAGCGAAGCCATTTGAGTCGGCTTCGTTCTTGCTCCCCATATGGGGCAGAAATTTTCGAGTTAGCAAAGCGAAGCCATTTGAAGTCGGCTTCGTTCTTGCTGCCCCATATGGGGCAGAAATTTTCGAGTTAGCAAAGCGAAGCCATTTGAAGTCGGCTTCGTTCTTGCTGCCCCATATGGGGCAGAAATTTTCGAGTTAGCAAAGCGAAGCCACAGAAATTTTGGAGCTAGCAAAGCGAAGCCATTTGAAGTCGGCTTCGTTCTTGCTGCCCCATATGGGGCAGAAATTTTCGAGTTAGCAAAGCGAAGCCATTTGAAGTCGGCTTCGTTCTTGCTGCCCCATATGGGGCAGAAATTTTCGAGTTAGCAAAGCGAAGCCACAGAAATTTTGGAGCTAGCAAAGCGAAGCCATTTGAAGTCGGCTTCGTTCTTGCTGCCCCATATGGGGCAGAAATTCTCGAGTTAGCAAAGCGAAGCCACAGAAATTTTGGTAGCAAGCGAAGCCATTTGAAGTCGGCTTCGTTCTTGCTGCCCCATATGGGGCAGAAATTTTCGAGTTAGCAAAGCGAAGCCATTTGAAGTCGGCTTCGTTCTTGCTGCCCCATATGGGGCAGAAATTTTCGAGTTAGCAAAGCGAAGCCATTTGAAGTCGGCTTCGTTCTTGCTGCCCCATATGGGGCAGAAATTTTCGAGTTAGCAAAGCGAAGCCACAGAAATTTTGGAGCTAGCAAAGCGAAGCCATTTGAAGTCGGCTTCGTTCTTGCTGCCCCATATGGGGCAGAAATTTTCGAGTTAGCAAAGCGAAGCCATTTGAAGTCGGCTTCGTTCTTGCTGCCCCATATGGGGCAGAAATTTTCGAGTTAGCAAAGCGAAGCCATTTGAAGTCGGCTTCGTTCTTGCTGCCCCATATGGGGCAGAAATTTTCGAGTTAGCAAAGCGAAGCCACAGAAATTTTGGGCTAGAGCGACCATTTGAAGTCGGCTTCGTTCTTGCTGCCCCATATGGGGCAGAAATTTTCGAGTTAGCAAAGCGAAGCCACAGAAATTTTGGAGCTCAAAGCGAAGCCATTTGAAGTCGGCTTCGTTCTTGCTGCCCCATATGGGGCAGAAATTTTCGAGTTAGCAAAGCGAAGCCACAGAAATTTTGGAGCTAGCAAAGCGAAGCCATTTGAAGTCGGCTTCGTTCTTGCTGCCCCATATGGGGCAGAAATTTTCGAGTTAGCAAAGCGAAGCCACAGAAATTTTGGAGCTAGCAAAGCGAAGCCATTTGAAGTCGGCTTCGTTCTTGCTGCCCCATATGGGGCAGAAATTTTCGAGTTAGCAAAGCGAAGCCACAGAAATTTTGGAGCTAAAAGCGAAGCCATTTGAAGTCGGCTTCGTTCTTGCTGCCCCATATGGGGCAGAAATTTTCGAGTTAGCAAAGCAATGTACAGCGAAGCCATTTGAAGTCGGCTTCGTTCTTGCTGCCCCATATGGGGCAGAAATTTTCGAGTTAGCAAAGCGAGCCAGTTGCTCAAGCGGCCCAGAAATTTTCGAGTTAGCAAAGCGAAGCCATTTGAAGTCGGCTTCGTTCTTGCTGCCCCATATGGGGCAGAAATTTTCGAGTTAGCAAAGCGAAGCCACAAGAAATTTTGGAGCTAGCAAAGCGAAGCCATTTGAAGTCGGCTTCGTTCTTGCTGCCCCATATGGGGCAGAAATTTTCGAGTTAGCAAAGCGAAGCCATTTGAAGTCGGCTTCGTTCTTGCTGCCCCATATGGGGCAGAAATTTTCGAGTTAGCAAAGCGAAGCCACGAAATTTTGGAGCAGCAAGCGAAGCCATTTGAAGTCGGCTTCGTTCTTGCTGCCCCATATGGGGCAGAAATTCTCGAGTTAGCAAAGCGAAGCCACAGAAATTTTGAGCTAGCAAAGCGAAGCCATTTGAAGTCGGCTTCGTTCTTGCTGCCCCATATGGGGCAGAAATTTTCGAGTTAGCAAAGCGACCACAGTTTTGGGGCTAGCAAAGCGAAGCCATTTGAAGTCGGCTTCGTTCTTGCTGCCCCATATGGGGCAGAAATTTTCGAGTTAGCAAAGCGAAGCCATTTGAAGTCGGCTTCGTTCTTGCTGCCCCATATGGGGCAGAAATTTTCGAGTTAGCAAAGCGAAGCCATTTGAAGTCGGCTTCGTTCTTGCTGCCCCATATGGGGCAGAAATTTTCGAGTTAGCAAAGCGAAGCCATTTGAAGTCGGCTTCGTTCTTGCTGCCCCATATGGGGCAGAAATTTTCGAGTTAGCAAAGCGAAGCCACAGAAATTTTGGAGCTAGCAAAGCGAAGCCATTTGAAGTCGGCTTCGTTCTTGCTGCCCCATATGGGGCAGAAATTTTCGAGTTAGCAAAGCGAAGCCATTTGAAGTCGGCTTCGTTCTTGCTGCCCCATATGGGGCAGAAATTTTCGAGTTAGCAAAGCGAAGCCACAGAAATTTTACGCAAGCGAAGCCATTTGAAGTCGGCTTCGTTCTTGCTGCCCCATATGGGGCAGAAATTTTCGAGTTAGCAAAGCGAAGCCATTTGAAGTCGGCTTCGTTCTTGCTGCCCCATATGGGGCAGAAATTTTCGAGTTAGCAAAGCGAAGCCACAGAAATTTTGGGCAGCAAAGCGAAGCCATTTGAAGTCGGCTTCGTTCTTGCTGCCCCATATGGGGCAGAAATTTTCGAGTTAGCAAAGCGAAGCCACGAATTTTGGGCCGCAAAGCGAGCTTTGAAGTCGGCTTCGTTCTTGCTGCCCCATATGGGGCAGAAATTTTCGAGTTAGCAAAGCGAAGCCATTTGAAGTCGGCTTCGTTCTTGCTGCCCCATATGGGGCAGAAATTTTCGAGTTAGCAAAGCGAAGCCATTTGAAGTCGGCTTCGTTCTTGCTGCCCCATATGGGGCAGAAATTTTCGAGTTAGCAAAGCGAAGCCATTTGAAGTCGGCTTCGTTCTTGCTGCCCCATATGGGGCAGAAATTTTCGAGTTAGCAAAGCGAAGCCATTTGAAGTCGGCTTCGTTCTTGCTGCCCCATATGGGGCAGAAATTTTCGAGTTAGCAAAGCGAAGCCATTTGAAGTCGGCTTCGTTCTTGCTGCCCCATATGGGGCAGAAATTTTCGAGTTAGCAAAGCGAAGCCATTTGAAGTCGGCTTCGTTCTTGCTGCCCCATATGGGGCAGAAATTTTCGAGTTAGCAAAGCGAAACCACAGAAATTTTGGAGCTAGCAAAGCGAAGCCATTTGAAGTCGGCTTCGTTCTTGCTGCCCCATATGGGGCAGAAATTTTCGAGTTAGCAAAGCGAAGCCACAGAAATTTTGGAGTTAGCAAAGCGAAGCCATTTGAAGTCGGCTTCGTTCTTGCTGCCCCATATGGGGCAGAAATTTTCGAGTTAGCAAAGCGAAGCCATTTGAAGTCGGCTTCGTTCTTGCTGCCCCATATGGGGCAGAAATTTTCGAGTTAGCAAAGCGAAGCCATTTGAAGTCGGCTTCGTTCTTGCTGCCCCATATGGGGCAGAAATTTTCGAGTTAGCAAAGCGAAGCCATTTGAAGTCGGCTTCGTTCTTGCTGCCCCATATGGGGCAGAAATTCTCGAGTTAGCAAAGCGAAGCCATTTGAAGTCGGCTTCGTTCTTGCTGCCCCATATGGGGCAGAAATTTTGGAGCTAGCAAAGCGAAGCCATTTGAAGTCGGCTTCGTTCTTGCTGCCCCATATGGGGCAGAAATTTTCGAGTTAGCAAAGCGAAGCCATTTGAAGTCGGCTTCGTTCTTGCTGCCCCATATGGGGCAGAAATTTTCGGGTTAGCAACGCGAAGCCATTTGAAGTCGGCGTCGTTCTTGCTGCACCATATGGGGCAGAAATTTTCGAGTTAGCAAAGCGAAGCCACAGAAATTTTGGAGCTAGCAAAGCGAAGCCATTTGAAGTCGGTTTCGTTCTTGCTGCCCCATATGGGGCAGAAATTTTCGAGTTAGCAAAGCGAAGCCATTTGAAGTCGGCTTCGTTCTTGCTGCCCCATATGGGGCAGAAATTTTCGAGTTAGCAAAGCGAAGCCATTTGAAGTCGGCTTCGTTCTTGCTGCCCCATATGGGGCAGAAATTTTCGAGTTAGCAAAGCGAAGCCATTTGAAGTCGGCTTCGTTCTTGCTGCCCCATATGGGGCAGAAATTTTGGAGCTAACAAAGCGAAGCCATTTGAAGTCGGCTTCGTTCTTGCTGCCCCATATGGGGCAGAAATTTTCGAGTTAGCAAAGCGAAACCACAGAAATTTTGGAGCTAGCAAAGCGAAGCCATTTGAAGTCGGCTTCGTTCTTGCTGCCCCATATGGGGCAGAAATTTTCGAGTTAGCAAAGCGAAACCACAGAAATTTTGGAGCTAGCAAAGCGAAGCCATTTGAAGTCGGCTTCGTTCTTGCTGCCCCATATGGGGCAGAAATTTTCGAGTTAGCAAAGCGAAGCCACAGATGGGTCGGAGCGGATGTTAGTTAGCATGGCGAAGATGGCGAGAAGAATGGCCTTGCTGCTGATAGGTTTCTTGACAGGCAGGGGTTTCTTCTGATATCGAAGTTGTGGAGGTGCAGTGTGGTGGTGAGGCGGATCTGGTGCGTTGGCAGCAGTGGCTTGATTGGGGATGTCCGAGGGAAGTGGAGTAGAATGGGTAGACTGGTCGTCGTGTGTTCGTCGCAGACGTTTACGATGTCGGGGTCGTCGGCTTCTTGGATTTGATGTCGTGTCCAGAGTCGTAGGTGGAGAGTTTGGAGGATCTGGAGGTGGAATCCCGGTTGCAAGTGGCAGAGATGAGGTGATTGGCGCGGTCCTGGCGAATCGAGTCCGGATATTTTGCCAGAGGGCGAAAAGGCTTGTCGTCGGGAAGATTGTTTTCTTGAGAAGATAGCAGATGATCGCCAACGTTAGGCCGAGGCTGATGGTCAGGCTGCTGATCGCGATGGTGTGGGTACAATGGTACAGTTGTTGTCCATAACGAGAACAAAAGGTGCAGCTGATCTTGGTAGAACAGAGCGGGATGGGACAGCTGACGTTGCGATGTCGGATCAGGATGGTGTTCTGCCAGAGTGATAGGGCTGTTGTGAACCTGTTGTAGATCGGCTTGTCGAAGATCGGAATTCGCAAAGTGATTGGGTCGTTAGATGACTCGACCTCGAGATAGGTGCAGTTGTGGGAGGGGAGACAATGTCGGAGCCGGGTTTGGCTGGTGCTGAACGGGAGCAGGATCTCGATGTAGATTTCGTTGCAGGAGAAGGACGCATGTCGGCCGGGATTTTTCGAGGCCGGATTGTATCCATAAAATTCGCAGTCTTGGGTGTTGTGCGCTTCCAAGGGGATTTTCAGATTGGAGAGTAGGAGAAATTCCATTCGGCCGGAGGTGCGGTAGCAGAAACGGTGACTGTAGGGGTCGCATGTGACGTTGGGGCTTTGGCAATATGAGGGAGGTCCGTTGGTGTCGTCATCGTAGATGGTGGTGCCCTCATCGAGGCATTGGTAGGTTTGGATCTCGGGATGCTCTTCGGAAAGAAGTGGTGCGTGTGAGGTGGATGACCAGCGGCATAGCTTTTCGTTGAGGAATTCGATTATGTAGCATCGGCGTTGGATCGGGTGTGGATTGCAGTCCGGGTGAGGTTCCCAGCTGCAACGGATCGGGTCGTCGTCGATGCACAGGTCGTCGATGAGGTCACTGTGGTTGTGGGCCCAGTCAAGATAGGGGCCGGAGACGTAGTAGTTCTTGGTATTGGTGGGCCAACTGACATTGGGTAGAGGTTGGCAGTTCCAGGACCAACAGGGACGGCCAGTGGTGTCCCGGTAAATAGCTTCAGGGCGACCATCGCGTAGGCCGGAGCACCAAGGTCGGAAAATGGGAGGAAGCTTGCTGGTGGAATTGCATTTCCAGTCGATCGGAATCGGTGTGGAGGGCGTGTCCGCCATGATGGGACAGAGGAGACAAATAATCGTGGCGAAGAAGAGATACTGTGGTTGCTTGTTCCGAGTATGACGCTGAGGCTGTTGACGAAGAGCGGGAAGGGATGTTCCTGGTTCGGGTTGCTCGGACTCAGTCTGATTGGGTTCGGGAGCGGGTCCGCTAATTTCGAGGTCGTAGAGCAAGGACAGAGGTCGGGTCAGTTTACCCTTACTGGTCTGGAGTTCAGCACAAGATGGGAGCCCAGCAATCGGGTGGCTGAGGCGGATGATTTGCGCTAGTGACCAATCGACTTTGGGTTTGCCAGGCTCTTCGATGAGCACAATTTTTCCGGGAGTTGGCTGTGTGGAGCTGGTTTTCTGTTGCTTGTGGAAAAGCTGGTTGCGTTCGCGTAGCTGTTGCAGGTATTCTTGGGTCCAGAGTTGTTTGAAGGCGTCGGTAGCGCGATTAGAACCATGCCAAGTGGCGAGTAGAGATTGTTGGAGAGTGGGGCCTTCTGCTTCATAGGTGGGATCGTCGGGGTCATCATCGTCAAGAGCGGTAGTGTCCAAGGAGGAGATAGGGGCTGCAAGGTTGGGTCGTCCTGGCGAGAGCAAGTCGATGGGTCGGAGCCGTTGAGTTGTGATAAATGCAGTTTAGGAATTCAGTGTGCAATTTCAGGGTTTAGGAAATGTTGGTCTCTTGCTTTATTTCACATCGTTTTGCCTTTATACTGTCGTCTCATCATTATTCCGTGGAGCGGGGTCGTGTTGGCGTTTTATAGCTTTCATGGTGGGAACCGATTCCATTTGGTGTTGTGTGATCACCGATGCGGTGACACTCCGCCGGGCGGCAGTTTGTATCCGTCGTCGGTGACGGCCCTCCCCGGGCGGCGATAAATCGATGAGGAAGTAGAGAGCTGCAACCTTGTAGATAGCAGCAACAGAGAAGGAGGATACTGGCGATGACTGCGAGACTGCAGAGAAGGATTCGTAGATTGGAGAAGAGGCCAGATGTAATGGAATCCCATATTCCGGTTAGAGAGAGGCCTTCGGATTCCGTCAGTGCGCTGACGTAGTTGGTGCGAGCTACTTGAAGAGCGATGGGCGGAAGGTGGGTCAGGTTGCCGGTGATAGGGATAGATTTGGTGATTCCGTTGCAGTGAAGGGCACAGGAGGTGTTGATGGTGGACGAGGGTTGAGATATGGTGAGGAAGTTGCTGATTCCTTGGTAGGTGCATTCAATCGGCCAGGTGCGTTGAAGGCACTCAAGGGAAGCGGTGGTGGTTCCAAAATCCGTTTTGCAGGAGTAGTAGGCGTTAGCGCCGCTGTCGCAATTGATGCATCCGTGAAATTCCGAGATGTTGAAGTCACAGATGGCAGAAGAGCTGGTGACGGTGGCGCTAGCGTTGATGATTTCAATCATAATCTGGGTGACAGTTCCGGTAGACATCTCGATAAGGAGGTCGTTCGTAATGGAGTTGGCGGTGAAGGTGTACTGTTCCGTTGTGAGTGGAAGTTGGTGTTCCGGGTGATCGAAGTAGAGGTCGAGGTTGACTGTAGGACAATCACAACGAACGTGGTCCTCACCAGGGTGGCACTGGCATGTCGTTTGGGAAAAACTACAGTTGAAGAGTTCGGCATCTTTGGCGCTCGGACAGATTAGCTGTGAGATGGTGCCCGGGTTAGGGGGATTGAAGTGTTGTGGATGTCGAGTGATTTTCTGATCCGTCAGTCTTTTGAGGAAGGTGGAAGCGAGCAGTGGAGATGGTGGAACGCTGATGGCGCCGAGGGTCATACGGATATGGTCAGACAGCTGGGTTGGGATACCGGGAGACAACTCGAGCGCGGAGTAGTTGGTAGATAGTCCATTGCTGTCAAGGAAAGTGGCACTGACGCGGAGTAGTGGTGTATAGGCAGTGCAATCGAAGGCTTGATAGATGGTGGTATGAAGTGGTCGGGCATGTAGTCGGTAGAACATACAACCGCTCTCCGTGAAGAGTACACATCCGGCTGAGAAACCGGGGCTGGCTGGGATGCAGTAGCTGTAGCCGGGGTAGTTGTTGACGGTGCTGTCAAATTCGGTGATACGGTCGTGTATGTCGACCTTTTCGCAGTAGTTGTCTTCGCATGGGCCGGCGCCCTTGCATCGCCGAGAAGAAGCAGTTTCAAAAGTGTGCTGTCTTGTGAAGAAGATTGTTTTAGGTTGGCAGCGAAATTGTAGGGGGAGATATTGGACGTGGAGTTGTCCAAGTGGGTGGCTGTTGTTCTGAAGCAGGCCGTTGAGTTCGAGGCAGGTTTGCTGTCGGGTGGAAGGAAGAATTAATAGGTGCTCGCTGCTGATAGCACACTTCTTCGTTCCTTGACTGTCGACACTGCAATGAAGGTTGTGTCCGGAAAGGCTGGCTATGTTGCTGCAGGCTTGGATGTTAGTTAGCATGGCGAAGATGGCGAGAAGAATGGCCTTGCTGCTGATAGGTTTCTTGACAGGCAGGGGTTTCTTCTGATATCGAAGTTGTGGAGGTGCAGTGTGGTGGTGAGGCGGATCTGGTGCGTTGGCAGCAGTGGCTTGATTGGGGATGTCCGAGGGAAGTGGAGTAGAATGGGTAGACTGGTCGTCGTGTGTTCGTCGCAGACGTTTACGATGTCGGGGTCGTCGGCTTCTTGGATTTGATGTCGTGTCCAGAGTCGTAGGTGGAGAGGTTGGAGGATCTGGAGGTGGAATCCCGGTTGCAAGTGGCAGAGATGTGGTGATTGGCGCGGTCCTGGCTAATCGAGTCCGGATATTTTGCCAGAGGGCGAAAAGGCTTGTCGTCGGGAAGATTGTTTTCTTGAGAAGATAGCAGATGATCGCCAACGTTAGGCCGAGGCTGATGGTCAGGCTGCTGATCGCGATGGTGTGGGTACAATGGTACAGTTGTTGTCCATAAAGAGAACAAAAGGTGCAGCTGATCGTGGTAGAACAGAGCGGGATTGGACAGCTGACGTTGCGATGTCGGATCAGGATGGTGTTCTGCCAGAGTGATAGGGCTGTTGTGAACCTGTTGTAGATCGGCTTGTCGAAGATCGGAATTCGCAAAGTGATTGGGTCGTTAGATGACTCGACTTCGAGATAGGTGCAGTTGTGGGAGGGGAGACAATGTCGGAGCCGGGTTTGGCTGGTGCTGAACGGGAGCAGGATCTCGATGTAGATTTCGTTGCAGGAGAAGGACGCATGTCGGCCGGGATTTTTCGAGGCCGGATTGTATCCATAAAATTCGCAGTCTTGGGTGTTGTGCGCTTCCAAGGGGATTTTCAGATTGGAGAGTAGGAGAAATTCCATTCGGCCGGAGGTGCGGTAGCAGAAACGGTGACTGTAGGGGTCGCATGTGACGTTGGGGCTTTGGCAATATGAGGGAGGTCCGTTGGTGTCGTCATCGTAGATGGTGGTGCCCTCATCGAGGCATTGGTAGGTTTGGATCTCGGGATGCTCTTCGGAAAGAAGTGGTGCGTGTGAGGTGGATGACCAGCGGCACAGCTTTTCGTTGAGGAATTCGATTATGTAGCATCGGCGTTGGATCGGGTGTGGATTGCAGTCCGGGTGAGGTTCCCAGCTGCAACGGATCGGGTCGTCGTCGATGCACAGGTCGTCGATGAGGTCACTGTGGTTGTGGGCCCAGTCAAGATAGGGGCCGGAGACGTAGTAGTTCTTGGTATTGGTGGGCCAACTGACATTGGGTAGAGGTTGGCAGTTCCAGGACCAACAGGGACGGCCAGTGGTGTCCCGGTAGATAGCTTCAGGGCGACCATCGCGTAGGCCGGAGCACCAAGGTCGGAAAATGGGAGGAAGCTTGCTGGTGGAATTGCATTTCCAGTCGATCGGAATCGGTGTGGAGAGCGTGTCCGCCGTGATGGGACAGAGGAGACAAATAATCGTGGCGAAGAAGAGATACTGTGGTTGTTTGTTCCGAGTATGACGCTGAGGCTGTTGACGAAGAGCGGGAAGGGATGTTCCTGGTTCGGGTTGCTCGGGCTCAGTCTGATTGGGTTCGGGAGCGGGTCCGCTAATTTCGAGGTCGTAGAGCAAGGACAGAGGTCGGGTCAGTTTACCCTTACTGGTCTGGAGTTCAGCACAAGATGGGAGCCCAGCAATCGGGTGGCTGAGGCGGATGATTTGTGCTAGTGACCAATCGACTTTGGGTTTGCCAGGCTCTTCGATGAGCACAATTTTTCCGGGAGTTGGCTGTGTGGAGCTGGTTTTCTGCTGCTTGTGGAAAAGCTGGTTGCGTTCGCGTAGCTGTTGCAGGTATTCTTGGGTCCAGAGTTGTTTGAAGGCGTCGGTAGCGCGATTGGAACCATGCCAAGTGGCGAGTAGAGATTGTTGGAGAGTTGGGCCTTCTGCTTCATAGGTGGGATCGTCGGGGTCATCATCGTCAAGAGCGGTAGTGTCCAAGGAGGAGATAGGTGCTGCAAGGTTGGGTCGTCCTGGCGAGAGCAAGTCGATGGGTCGGAGCGGTACAAAGTCGGCATCGGCAGGGATTGAAGTCAGTGGCCTGGAGTTGATGATGGCTTCGGCTTCAGCAACAACGGTTCGAAATGATTCGAGGTCGGGGAGTTGCTTGTCGAGGGTGCGGAGTAGGCTGTGCTTGGTCAAGCCGATGAGGCGTTCCCACCAGCCGCCTTTCCATGGGCTTCGTGGGGGAATGAATTTCCATTGGATCCCGAATTGGGCGTTGGAGTTGATGAGCTTCCCGAGGCCAGTGAAATTGGTGGCGTTGTCGGTGACGAGGGTGTCCGGTCGTCCTCGTTGGCTGATGAATCGACGAAGAATGTGCAGAAAGGCTTCCGACGATAAGGAAGTCGTGACGGCCAATGATATGGCGCGGCAGTAGCTGCAGGTGAAGAGGACGATCCATGCTTTGTCGGGTTGTTCTGGGGTGTTGCGAAGCTTGAAGGGTCCGGCCAGATCGCATCCGGTGTGCCGAAAAGGGCGGTCCGCGGTGAGGCGGAGGGCTGGTAGTTCGCTGAGAGGCGGGAGTAGATAGGGTCGGCTGTGAGCTTTACGACAAGGGATGCATCGATGATGGATGAGTTTCTTGACGGTGGCGCGGCATCTTGGGATCCAGAAACGTTGCCTGATCTGGGCGAGAATGTGGGTGGTCCCAGCATGTTGATTCCGAGTGTGGATGTCGAGGATGATGAGCTGGGTCACGGGATGTTCGCGGGAGAGATAGATGGGGTGTCGTAGTCGGGGATCCAGGTGTTCGGAGTCGATCCGAGTGTGACATCGAAGGAGTCCAGATTCGTCGGTAAAGATCCGGTGCCGTTGTCGTTCCCCGTCGGAAGGGGGAGCTTCGGCTTGAGCTTGGAGGAGAATCAGAAGTTCAGCCATCGTCGTGGTTGGTTTTGGTCGGCCTTGTCGGGAGGCATTGTAGAGAAAGGTGAGAACCAAAAGAACGATCCGGAGGAGCTTGTTGTAGCTGGAGTAGTTGTTGAACTTGATGGCACTCTGGTGCAGAGGTTCGATGGGCTGGGCTTGTGCAGCTAGAGTGATGATATCGGGGTTTCTCGTGTCTTCGTTGGAGTCGTCGGCGGGCTCATGGTCAATTTGACTAGCTTTCAGGCTGAATTTTGGCTGGTAGTTGAAGGAGAGATCCGTGAGGAAGGGAGCTCCGTGGGCCCAGTTGCGGAGATTGGCAAAGTCATCCGGATTGACACCTCGAGTGGTGTGATCGGCGGGATTGTGTTCAGTGTCGACGTGGAGAAAAGTAGTGTTGGGCGGGACATCTCGGATACGATCAACACGGGTACGCACAAATTTGGGCTGCTGTTTCGTTGATTTGATCCAAGAAAGGGCAATGAGTGAATCGCTGTAGATGAAATAATCCTGGAAGTCCATATCCATTTCACGGATGAGGAAATGTAGTAGTCGCTTGGCCAGTTCGATGGCAAGGAGTTCAAGTCGAGGCATAGTCGGGTTGCCTTTGGGAGCGAGTTTCGAGCGGCTCATGATCAAGGTCGCTTGGGGTTGTCCGGAGTCATCTGTGAAGGCTAAATAGGCGCAGGCGCCGTAGCTCACATTGCTCGCGTCGGCAAAGAGATGGAGAGACGGCCGATTGATTTGGGTGCCGTACGCTCGCGGCACGGTGAAGTGGAAGTCGGCGAATTTGGTCGCTAGTTGGAGCCATTCTTCGCAATCTGCGGGGCTCAGTGGGGCATCCCAGCTTTGAGCTGCAGCTTGGCTGGTTGTCCGCCGAAGGAGTTGCTTGATGGGGAGAAGAACGGGCGAAATGAGTCCGAGTGGATCGTACCAGCGGTGAAGCCATTGAAGGGTGTTGCGTTTAGTTGGTGGATTGGTATTGGAAAAGTCGGGACTTGGCACCTCGATGGAGAAAGTGTCATTCTGCGGGTCATGTGGGATGCCGAAGAAAGAGTTGTAGTTGTCCGTGATATGCTCATCTTGGCTGCGGAGAAAATCCATAAATTCGGGGTTGGTGCTGTGCCATGCTCGGAGATTGAATCCGGCGGTCCGGAAGAGTTCTTTCGACTCAAAGTAGAATTGTTTGGCCTCGTCGAGATTTTTTGCGACCGTCGTGCTGTTGTCGACATAGAGTCCTCGTCGAATGCGTTCGGCCAGCGGATGATTGCTGTGCCGTAGGTGATAGTCGATCACAGCGGCTAGCAAAAGGGCAGAGGCCACGACTCCGAAAGGAGTGCAGGTGAATCGCAATTCACGGAGGTTGTCCAGTGAGACGGGCTTGCTCAGGTCTTTAAGCCAAAGGATTCTGTTGCTGTCTCGATCAGGCTCGGCTAGTCCGATGCGTAAATACGCTTCTTGCATATCGCTGGTCACAAGAAATCCGGGGTTTCGAGCGCGACAGATGATGCCGCTCAAATTCGAAAGAAGATTGGGTCCCCGATGTAGACTGGAGTTGAGGGAGATGCCGCCATCAGCGGAACGGGCACTCGCATCATAGACAAGACGAATCTTTGTCGTGGCCGAGCTCATTTTGATGACAGCATGATGCGGCATATAAAAAAGTAGAGGAGAGGTGGTTGGGGCGGCTTCTTCAAGATACCCTTTTTCGAGGTATTGGCAAAAGACGTCGTTGTACTGATCGAGGAGTCCCGGTGTAGCTTGGAGTTTCTTGACGCAGTGTTGAAGACGACGATAACACAAAGGGAATGTGTTACTGAGGTAGTCCTTGGTCGTTTTTCGTGGCCATTTGACGGTGTAGCGGCCGTTGCTGTCCCGGGTGATGTTTTCTTGGATGGCCTCGAGGATACTGTCGTCTTCTTCTTGGGAATGGATCGCTGCTTCCTCCATGTTATAGAGACGGTCAAGCATAGCGGGGATATCGGCATCCGCGGTGTTGGCCTGGTCTGGAGGATCGGGTAGCGGATCGGTGATGTCGTCGGGAACTGGATGGGCGATCGCAAGGTTGGTTGAGTGGAGTGGAAGAGGGGAGAAGTCGGGACAGTCAGTGGTAGTAAGGAGCGGTGCTTCGCCAGTGAGGAAGTCGCCGAATTTGGTAGTGATTTTGAATAGACCGGATTTGGTGGGTGTAAAACCCAAAATGCGCCACATGTGGGGTGCGCCGAGTAGTAGTTCGGGTTCTTGGTGATCGAATAGATGCGCCGGGATGCGGGAGAGGTTGGCTGCCGTCGGATCGGAAAGGGATTTGACTTTCTCGAGGATGGAGGGGACAGAGTGGACCTGGACGCAGATATAGCCGTGTTCCTTGTCGTAGATGAGGATGCTGTGTATGCCCACGTTTAGTGTTTTGCTCCCCGGGTCGAGAAAACGTGACACCGAGTACTGTTCGAGTCGAGCTGGAATGAGAAGAAGTCGTTGGACCAAGCTCGTGGCGATGTAGCTGAGACTGCTGCAGGAGTCAAGCAGTGAGGGCGTTTTCATGCTGTGGTCGGGTAGTGTAGGGTTCGCGACCTCCATGTCGAGCATTGCAACGATGGATTGCTTGGGGACGGCGGTAGGAGAGGCCGTCGGCATTGGTGAATTGGCAGCTATTTGGATTGCATTGGTGGTGTGAGATGGTTGATGTGCAGGGATGAAAGGAACCCTGGGAGTTGGCTGATTGTTGGGTGCGTGTCGGGGACGCGATTGTTGATGATTCACCGCGGATGGGGTGAAATGCTGAGACCTGGGAGCTTGATCTGGGCGGATCGGCCTTGGTTGAGAAGGAGCTGAAGGCGCGGTAGCGAAGTCGATGTGGAGGGCCGTGTGATGTGGGCGTTGGCAAGTTTTGCACTTGAATGATGAAGGACACTCCCAGGTGTTGTGTGAGTCGTAGCAGCAATTTTTGCAGAGCTTTTTCTGTTTGGCGGCTTCGTTGCGTTGTCTTGGGTCGAGTGGACAATTCCAAATGGTATGGGCTGGTGATTGGTTCGGTGGGCAGAGAGGACAGAGTTTTCGATGTCGAGCTGCTCCAGAGGTCCCAGATTGGGAGTTGTGATGAGATGTCCAATTGTTGGATCGAGGGGAGTGATGTACGGGAGCGTTGAACCCATGTTTGATGCGCTGATGGGCTGCTCCGTCGGCATTGTGTAGTAGGTTGAGGTCCTTTTCGGCGAGAAGGAGTTGCTTCAGTGAGTCGAGCAATGAGTTGGCGGTTGTCGCATTTGTCAGTTTAGCGATGAGCCGTTTCGGAAATTTGCGCTTGATGATTTGAGTGTAGATGGGCGAGTTTTCAGCTGTTTGGTCGTATTGTTGGAGGCGATGTAGTAGAGCTTGTAGGGAGTGAACGAGAGCTATGTAGTCATCCGTTCTGGGCTCGGTGGTTGGAGAATGAGCTGCTTTTGACTGAAGGATTTGGTCGCGGAAACAGTCGGCAAGGATAGCTGGACGATCATATTCTTGTCGAAGAAGTTGAAGTCCCTTTTGGTAGGAGGCTGCTTCGATGGGCAAGGTGTCCAGGGCTAATTTTGGTCTTCCGCTGGTGGCTTTGAGAAGCCAAGAAAATTTCTGTTGTAAGGGGATGGGTGCTGGATCCAGAATGTTGTGGATCGATTCGTTGAAGGCTGGCCATTGGAGATAGTTGCCGTCGAATTTCGCAATTTCGCTCGGGTTGGGGTTTTGTTGGACGTAGATAGTAGCCGGAGGAGTTTCGGTAGCTGTGGGCAGAGCTGAAGTTGGTGTGGCTGGACGAGACGGGGAGGTGGCTGGAGTTGGTGTGGTGCGACGGAGAGATCCTGTTGGTTGGCTTTGGTAGGAGTCAAACTCAACTTGTAGTCGTGCTTGTAGTTGTTCAATTTTTGACCAGTTTTCTTCAATACGTTCAAGGACTTGCATGGGGTCCTTGTTCGTGTGAAACGTTTCGAGCGACGCTTCCAGCTGTGGTCGAGATGTTTCATTTGCCGCATCAATCAGTTTAGCCCAGTCACCAAGATAACTGTTGATTCTCAGGCTGAATTGTGAGAGTGTGGCATGATGGATTTGTAGGCTGCTTATCTGGGCTTTCAGATCCCAAAACCCCGTTTCCCCAGGTTTTTTGATTTCCTGGATAGTTGTGTCTAGTCGTATCATCTCCTTGTTGGCCAGATTGATCACCTTGCTTAATTGTCGTTGCAAATTGGAGGACGACATATCTTTGTTGGAGCCGAGGCTGGTTGATGACCGCCTCGTGATGGAAAAAAGGGCGAAAAGGCAGAAAGCAAAATATTGTGTAGAACGTATTTTGACTGGAGAGATCCGAAGATAGAAAGTTCAACTTATTTTTGCAGAAGATGAAGTCGTTTCGATCGTGGTCGCCAATTGTTGTGTTAAATGCAGTTTAGGAATTCAGTGTGCAATTTCAGGGTTTAGGAAATGTTGGTCTCTTGCTTTATTTCACATCGTTTTGCCTTTATACTGTCGTCCCATCATTATTCCGTGGAGCGGGGTCGTGTTGGCGTTTTATAGCTTTCATGGTGGGAACCGATTCCATTTGGTGTTGTGTGATCACCGATGCGGTGACAGGAGCTAGCAAAGCGAAGCCATTTGAAGTCGGTTTCGTTTTTGCTGCCCCATATGGGGCAGAAATTTTCGAGTTAGCAAAGCGAAGCCATTTGAAGTCGGCTTCCTTCTTGCTGCCCCATATGGGGCAGAAATTTTGGAGCTAACAAAGCGAAGCCATTTGAAGTCGGCTTCGTTCTTGCTGCCCCATATGGGGCAGAAATTTTCGAGTTAGCAAAGCGAAGCCACAGAAATTTTGGAGCTAGCAAAGCGAAGCCATTTGAAGTCGGTTTCGTTTTTGCTGCCCCATATGGGGCAGAAATTTTCGAGTTAGCAAAGCGAAGCCATTTGAAGTCGGCTTCGTTCTTGCTGCCCCATATGGGGCAGAAATTTTCGAGTTAGCAAAGCGAAGCCATTTGAAGTCGGCTTCGTTCTTGCTGCCCCATATGGGGCAGAAATTTTCGAGTTAGCAAAGCGAAGCCACAGAAATTTTGGAGCTAGCAAAGCGAAGCCATTTGAAGTCGGCTTCGTTCTTGCTGCCCCATATGGGGCAGAAATTTTCGAGTTAGCAAAGCGAAACCACAGAAATTTTGGAGCTAGCAAAGCGAAGCCATTTGAAGTCGGCTTCGTTCTTGCTGCCCCATATGGGGCAGAAATTTTCGAGCTAGCAAAGCGAAGCCATTTGAAGTCGGCTTCGTTCTTGCTGCCCCATATGGGGCAGAAATTTTCGAGTTAGCAAAGCGAAGCCATTTGAAGTCGGCTTCGTTCTTGCTGCCCCATATGGGGCAGAAATTTTCGAGTTAGCAAAGCGAACCACAGAAATTTTGGCAGCAAAGCGAAGCCATTTGAAGTCGGCTTCGTTCTTGCTGCCCCATATGGGGCAGAAATTTTCGAGTTAGCAAAGCGAAACCACAGAAATTTTGGAGCTAGCAAAGCGAAGCCATTTGAAGTCGGCTTCGTTCTTGCTGCCCCATATGGGGCAGAAATTTTCGAGTTAGCAAAGCGAAGCCATTTGAAGTCGGCTTCGTTCTTGCTGCCCCATATGGGGCAGAAATTTTCGAGTTAGCAAAGCGAAGCCACAGAAATTTTGGAGCTAGCAAAGCGAAGCCATTTGAAGTCGGCTTCGTTCTTGCTGCCCCATATGGGGCAGAAATTTTCGAGTTAGCAAAGCGAAGCCATTTGAAGTCGGCTTCGTTCTTGCTGCCCCATATGGGGCAGAAATTTTCGAGTTACAAAGCGAACCACAGAAATTTTGGAGCTAGCAAAGCGAAGCCATTTGAAGTCGGCTTCGTTCTTGCTGCCCCATATGGGGCAGAAATTTTCGAGTTAGCAAAGCGAAGCCACCCGGCGAAATTTTGGAGCTAGCAAAGCGAAGCCATTTGAAGTCGGCTTCGTTCTTGCTGCCCCATATGGGGCAGAAATTTTGGAGCTAGCAAAGCGAAGCCATTTGAAGTCGGCTTCGTTCTTGCTGCCCCATATGGGGCAGAAATTTTCGAGTTAGCAAAGCGAAGCCATTTGAAGTCGGCTTCGTTCTTGCTGCCCCATATGGGGCAGAAATTTTCGAGTTAGCAAAGCGAAGCCAGAAATTTTGGGCAAAGCGAAGCCATTTGAAGTCGGCTTCGTTCTTGCTGCCCCATATGGGGCAGAAATTTTCGAGTTAGCAAAGCGAAGCCACAGATTTTGGAGCAGCCATTTGAAGTCGGCTTCGTTCTTGCTGCCCCATATGGGGCAGAAATTTTCGAGTTAGCAAAGCGAAGCCATTTGAAGTCGGCTTCGTTCTTGCTGCCCCATATGGGGCAGAAATTCTCGAGTTAGCAAAGCGAAGCCACAGAATTTTGGGCTAGCAAAGCGAAGCCATTTGAAGTCGGCTTCGTTCTTGCTGCCCCATATGGGGCAGAAATTTTCGGAGCTAGCAAAGCGAAGCCATTTGAAGTCGGCTTCGTTCTTGCTGCCCCATATGGGGCAGAAATTTTCGAGTTAGCAAAGCGAAGCCATTTGAAGTCGGCTTCGTTCTTGCTGCCCCATATGGGGCAGAAATTTTCGAGTTAGCAAAGCGAAGCCATTTGAAGTCGGCTTCGTTCTTGCTGCCCCATATGGGGCAGAAATTTTCGAGTTAGCAAAGCGAAGCCATTTGAAGTCGGCTTCGTTCTTGCTGCCCCATATGGGGCAGAAATTTTCGGAGTTAGCAAAGCGAAGCCATTTGAAGTCGGCTTCGTTCTTGCTGCCCCATATGGGGCAGAAATTTTCGAGTTAGCAAAGCGAAGCCACAGAAATTTTGGAGCTAGCAAAGCGAAGCCATTTGAAGTCGGCTTCGTTCTTGCTGCCCCATATGGGGCAGAAATTTTCGAGTTAGCAAAGCGAAGCCATTTGAAGTCGGCTTCGTTCTTGCTGCCCCATATGGGGCAGAAATTTTCGAGTTAGCAAAGCGAAGCCATTTGAAGTCGGCTTCGTTCTTGCTGCCCCATATGGGGCAGAAATTTTCGAGTTAGCAAAGCGAAGCCATTTGAAGTCGGCTTCGTTCTTGCTGCCCCATATGGGGCAGAAATTCTCGAGTTAGCAAAGCGAAGCCATTTGAAGTCGGCTTCGTTCTTGCTGCCCCATATGGGGCAGAAATTTTCGAGTTAGCAAAGCGAAGCCACAGAAATTTGGAGCTAGAAGCGAAGCCATTTGAAGTCGGCTTCGTTCTTGCTGCCCCATATGGGGCAGAAATTTTCGAGTTAGCAAAGCGAAGCCATTTGAAGTCGGCTTCGTTCTTGCTGCCCATATGGGGCAGAAATTTTCGAGTTAGCAAAGCGAAGCCATTTGAAGTCGGCTTCGTTCTTGCTGCCCCATATGGGGCAGAAATTTTCGAGTTAGCAAAGCGAAGCCATTTGAAGTCGGCTTCGTTCTTGCTGCCCCATATGGGGCAGAAATTTTCGAGTTAGCAAAGCGAAGCCATTTGAAGTCGGCTTCGTTCTTGCTGCCCCATATGGGGCAGAAATTTTCGAGTTAGCAAAGCGAAGCCATTTGAAGTCGGCTTCGTTCTTGCTGCCCCATATGGGGCAGAAATTTTCGAGTTAGCAAAGCGAAGCCACAGAAATTTTGGAGCTAGCAAAGCGAAGCCATTTGAAGTCGGCTTCGTTCTTGCTGCCCCATATGGGGCAGAAATTTTCGAGTTAGCAAAGCGAAGCCATTTGAAGTCGGCTTCGTTCTTGCTGCCCCATATGGGGCAGAAATTTTCGAGTTAGCAAAGCGAAGCCATTTGAAGTCGGCTTCGTTCTTGCTGCCCCATATGGGGCAGAAATTTTCGAGTTAGCAAAGCGAAGCCACAGAAATTTTGAGCTAGCAAAGCGAAGCCATTTGAAGTCGGCTTCGTTCTTGCTGCCCCATATGGGGCAGAAATTTTCGAGTTAGCAAAGCGAAGCCACAGAAATTTTGGAGCTAGCAAAGCGAAGCCATTTGAAGTCGGCTTCGTTCTTGCTGCCCCATATGGGGCAGAAATTTTCGAGTTAGCAAAGCGAAGCCACAGAAATTTTGGAGCTAGCAAAGCGAAGCCATTTGAAGTCGGCTTCGTTCTTGCTGCCCCATATGGGGCAGAAATTTTCGAGTTAGCAAAGCGAAGCCATTTGAAGTCGGCTTCGTTCTTGCTGCCCCATATGGGGCAGAAATTTTCGAGTTAGCAAAGCGAAGCCATTTGAAGTCGGCTTCGTTCTTGCTGCCCCATATGGGGCAGAAATTTTCGAGTTAGCAAAGCGAAGCCATTTGAAGTCGGCTTCGTTCTTGCTGCCCCATATGGGGCAGAAATTTTCGAGTTAGCAAAGCGAAGCCATTTGAAGTCGGCTTCGTTCTTGCTGCCCCATATGGGGCAGAAATTTTCGAGTTAGCAAAGCGAAGCCATTTGAAGTCGGCTTCGTTCTTGCTGCCCCATATGGGGCAGAAATTTTCGAGTTAGCAAAGCGAAGCCATTTGAAGTCGGCTTCGTTCTTGCTGCCCCATATGGGGCAGAAATTTTCGAGTTAGCAAAGCGAAGCCATTTGAAGTCGGCTTCGTTCTTGCTGCCCCATATGGGGCAGAAATTTTCGAGTTAGCAAAGCGAAGCCACGAAATTTTGGAGCTAGCAAAGCGAAGCCATTTGAAGTCGGCTTCGTTCTTGCTGCCCCATATGGGGCAGAAATTTTCGAGTTAGCAAAGCGAAGCCACAGAATTTGGGCTAGCAAAGCGAAGCCATTTGAAGTCGGCTTCGTTCTTGCTGCCCCATATGGGGCAGAAATTTTCGAGTTAGCAAAGCGAAGCCGCCATTTGAAGTCGGCTTCGTTCTTGCTGCCCCATATGGGGCAGAAATTTTCGAGTTAGCAAAGCGAAGCCCGAAATTTTGAGCTAGCAAAGCGAAGCCATTTGAAGTCGGCTTCGTTCTTGCTGCCCCATATGGGGCAGAAATTTTCGAGTTAGCAAAGCGAAGCCATTTGAAGTCGGCTTCGTTCTTGCTGCCCCATATGGGGCAGAAATTTTCGAGTTAGCAAAGCGAACCACGAAATTTTGGAGCTAGCAAAGCGAAGCCATTTGAAGTCGGCTTCGTTCTTGCTGCCCCATATGGGGCAGAAATTTTCGAGTTAGCAAAGCGAAGCCAGGGCCTTTGAAGTCGGCTTCGTTCTTGCTGCCCCATATGGGGCAGA